AAGAAAGACACAGAGAGAAAATGATAATCGTGATAAATCCAGGTGATTTTGCGCTAAAGCGGCACTCTTAAACGTTTCCCCGTTTCTCGGCCAATTAAACTTTCTCTGCATCCGCGCAGGATGCTGGAACGAAAATTGTACACCATAAGGCGAATTACAGAGGAATGTTTCGACTTCATCTTAACTAATTTTCGACCCATAAAACGTTCGACAGGACAACGCGCAGTGGCTAATTATGGAAAATTGATCCGCAAAAAATAACGCATACCGTTGCCTTTCAACACTCGATGAAGTGTGAGAGATACAGTTCGACTTTCGCTTTGTTTCGAGTTTCTGGTCTATCACTTTTTTCCAAATGAATGTTTTTATAAATGTTTTCCTTTCCTCTTCTTTTTCTTTCTCTCTCTTCCTCTTCGCCCTTTTTTGTCAACTGCCCTAATGCCTCCTCCTTCGGTCTAATCGTAAAATAATGACAGGATGCCACGATAACGCGACCGCTTACTAAAGAAACTCGGCTCATTTGGTCTCACCTGTATCCCTCTTCGGTATCCCTTCAAGTACATCGCGTTTCTTTCCGAGATGGACACTGTTATTTTATTCGCTGTAATCAAGGGAGTAGCTAACAATTTTCGAGTAGGCAAAAGAATATAATGTAGTATTCTATTTTTAAATAATTATTTTTTTCCGGGAGGGACAAAGTTTTCCGTCAGTCTAATGGTTTAATTAAAAAAAAAAAAAAAAACAAAAAAAAATTATATTAAAAAAAAAAAAAAAAAAAAAAAAAAAAAAAAAAAAAAAAAAAACAGTATACGATACGCGTCAATAATCACGTACATAAATATGTATTATTGAACGAAAATGATTAATCTGTAATTTCTATACTAACTGCAACAATTTAATCTTGCGAGGTGTTAATTCAATCTCATCTCTTATCCGAGAGTTCTATCAGCCCACGAAGAGCTATATTTTAAGGACGCGCTATTTTGACGAGAGACGTGCGTAATGAACAATTCCAACACCTGTCATGACGTATCGGCGTGTATGGTGTACAACGCTTAAGTGGCAATTAAAATCCAATCATTTCAAAACTAATATCACTGGTGTAATGCGCGAGTTATGATTCATAAATACTTCATGCTTTGAGAGATCATAATCAAGAAACTATCCATACGATTAATGTTTATGTTTATATCTTTTTCTCCCCGCTTTACACCCAACGTGATGCCGTAAAACACGGCTATCTATTTTAGTTACACCTTTATACGATATGATCTATGCGCGATGCATGCTACAACAAAACATCTTTCCGCAGATTCGTATCTCTCAAATATTAGGTGCGATATGAAAGTTATTGTTCATGGTTTAAATAATACTCTCCGAAATATCATCAAGCATGATAGATATCGAAACTCTACAAAGAGTTAAAGATTCATATTCTATTATTATTACCCTAGTCTACTTTAATCCCAGAATTGCATCACAGATTATTAAATGGGATTATTAAACTTCTCCTCGTTTTCTCGTTCATAACAAATCACGAATATTTTACATGTTTGACTCGCGCGTAACAAATTTTCTCGAATAGCGATCGATGACGAATCGATCGAACAATTATAAACGAGACAAAAAGGCGCGATCCATCAAGCGGAACCGGACATACATGTCATATCCCGGCCTTCCGCGCGACGGTACGTACCTATATCCCGATCGGGTTAACGCGAGAAGCGAACACGTCTCAATCCCGACGATCCAGCCGGTTCTTCGTGTGGATCTTAATTCGTGACGACGAGATTGCGCGGCGTGGCTTTGTCGGAGCTTGAGAGCCGCCGCCGACGGGACGCAATTTCGCGGCGACGCTAAGCGCCTGGCTTAACGATCGCGCTAACGCTGAAAAAGTTTAACGATCGCGTAAAGGCATGCGCACGCGAGTCCGCGAGTAGTTCACCGCCAAGCTAATTATGTAAACGAGAGTTTCGCGAAGCAAAATGAGAAGGAGGTGAGGAATGGGGGGGG